TTTCCCCCCCCCCCTTTGGAGTAGCTTACGCAAGGTTTTTATTGTGGGGTAATGGTCCAGACTTGTGCTCTTCAGCGTGTGTACAAATTAACTTTTTTTTTTTCATACATGCATTCATGCGTTTTTTGTGAAGAGTTATATGACTCACCAAGCGCGGGCTCGCCCGTAGACTTTACCTCTGGGCCCACCTCAATACCCGGCAAGGCTCGATAACGGGATTCCATTTCAAAATTTCAGTATGACCCTGTGAGCCAAACTTAGACCTTGCCCCTCTAGGGTGGCCCAATTATACACAGCAATATTTATTTAGCGAATTTTTTGGTCTCTTTTTTATATGGGATTTTACATCAAAAAACTTTTTCCAGAAAAATCAATTTTTCGAAAAATGTGTAATTTCCAGGAAAAATCTGAGGTCATATTTGGCTTCAGCAGGAAAAATTGAGTGGGAAAACATGTGTTGGACACTTCAAAAAAAAATTTTTTACCCCTCGTTATAGCGGCGGAACAACTGAAACATCTAGGAAACGCTAAAAAAGGGTAAAATGACGGTGATAAATCCGAAATAATTAGGTACGTCTGCATCCGAAAACGAAGCGCAACATATGGTAGGTGTCTCTAACATACGTTTTTACGCTGAGGCATAAAATTCTATCCATTTTCCTCTATTCCATCAGGATTTTCCGGAAAATCGATTTTCTTGTATACAAAGACGGTTTTCTAGGGAAAACTCAATTTTCGGGAAATAAACCTCAACATGTGACGGATGTTTCCCATGTGTTTTTCAACGCTGAGTCCGAAAACGATGTCACAGTTGCTCCGTTACCCCGGAATTTTCCGGAAAATCGATTTCCTCGTAGAAACAGGGTTTTCCGGGGAAAACTCAATTTTTAGGAAATGGACGCTCGACTTGTAATAGATGTTTTTGATGTGTTTTTTAACCGTGAATTCAAAAATCATAACCGTTTCCCTCTATTCCACTGGGAGTTTCTGAAAAACTAAATTTTTCCTGTAAAGAAGGTAATTTTCCAGGGAAAACTCGGTACCCTGGAAAACTTGTGAAATTCGAGGAAAAACAAGGTAATTTCTCAACTCAGCTACAAAAAAACATTAGAACACAAATTGTGTATTCCTGAATAAAACCTATAGTATTGTATGTATATTAGTGGAAAGTGGAGAACAAGTGAGCAAAATTGAGTAACTTTGACTATTTATCAAATATTTTTACAAGAAATATAGGAAGAGTACAAGAACACCTTCATGTATTACTTAGAAATGCTTGTTGCATCGATTTTTTCCTTACTTTTTTAAAAATCCTGCAATATTCGCTCACAGTCTGCAATATGCTTTGTTTTTGCTCTTCATTTTTTGTCAAAATTCTTTCAAACTCCTAGTGGAATAAAGGGAAACGGTTATGATTTTCGAATTCACGGTTAAAAAACACATCAAAAACATCTATTACAAGTCGAGCGTCCATTTCCTAAAAATTGAGTTTTCCCCGGAAAACCCTGTTTCTACGAGGAAATCGATTTTCCGGAAAATCCCGGGGTAACGGAGCAACTGTGACATCGTTTTCGGACTCAGCGTTGAAAAACACATGGAAAACATCCGTCACATGTTGAGGTATATGTCCTGAAAATTGAGTTTTCCCTGGAAAACCGTCTTTGTATACAAGAAAATCGATTTTCTGGAAAATCCTGATGGAATAGAGGAAAATGGATAGAATTTTATGCCTCAGCGTAAAAACGTATGTAAGAGACACCTACCATATGTTGCGCTTCGTTTTCGGATGCAGACGTACCTAATTATTTCGGATTTATCACCGTCATTTTACCCTTTTTTAGCGTTTCCTAGATGTTTCAGTTGTTCCGCCGCTATAACGAGGGATAAAAAAATTTTTTTTGAAGTGTCCAACACATGTTTTCCCACTCAATTTTTCCTGCTGAAGCCAAATATGACCTCAGATTTTTCCTGGAAATTACACATTTTTCGAAAAATTGATTTTTCTGGAAAAAGAGTTTTTTGATGTAAAATCCCATATAAAAAAGAGACCAAAAAAATTCGCTAAATAAATGTTGCTGTGTATAATTTGGCCACCCTAGAGGGGCAAGGTCTAAGTTTGGCTCACAGGGTCATACTGAAATTTTGAAATGGAATCCCGTTATCGAGCCTTGCTGGGTATTGAGGTGAGCCCAGAGGTAAAGTCTACGGGCGAGCCCGCGCTTGGTGAGTTACGCAACTCTTTACAAAAACGCATGAATGCATGAATTAAAAAAAGAAAAAAGTTAATTTGTACACACGCTGAAGAGCACAAGTCTGGAACATTACCCCACAATAAAAACCTTGCGTAAGCTACTCCAAAGGGGGGGGGGGGGTAAGGTCTAANCTCTCTCTTTAAGAAAAAATAATAATTTTGAATAGAAACAAAAGGTGGCCAGTTTTCTCTCTTTCTCTGTCACTTTCTGGAAAATGGGGGGGGGGGGCGATCAGGGCAATTAGTGAATTCCAAAAGGGATTGAAAAGTAGTTGCACTGTTGCTTCACAAGAGGTGGAGGTTTAGAAAGTCGTCCAAAAAGCTGTAAGTACTACTTGAATCCCTACCAGAACAAATTAGTAAACAGTTAAATATTAAAGCGAAAACTGGCAACCATGGCGCTTTAGAACAGAGCCTTTAAAATGGAAATGATTAATTTTAGTCTTAAGTAGACGAGCAGAGGTGAATTAATCATCACTGCCATCGTGTGCCACCTGAAATTGCCAGTTTACGATTCAAAACATAGGCGGTCGCGCATCGACCCGCTCCGTTTTAGCACTTTTGTTCCCTTAATTTTGAAGATAAACTTATGATGTGTTATACCAAATCAACGCTAGAAGAACGATCTACAACTTTTACTGTAGGGTATTTTTCGATACGGGTCTTCATAAGGACATAAGTACAGCAAATTCCGGTTCATAATTCTCAATCTTCAATTTCTTTCAATTTTACTCACATTTAAATTACTTTGACATTCAAAACTTTTGTTTGTTCGAAAAGTAGACTCAATTACCTACAGTTTAAAAAAAAATTGAGCTCTCCAAGTTTATTTCTCGCTCTGCAGTGAATTTGTGAAAAAATGTCTAATTTTCAACTTCATTGGACCACTGTGCGGAATCCCCCAAGAGGATTTATGGGGACTTTTGGCTAAAAACACCTTTTCATAAGAAGAATAGATTGGGCTTAAATCCAGCCGTATGTTAATTTTTGGCCGGAAACGGTTCCTACATGCCTTTGTATACTGAACTATAACGGGGGAGTACTAGTTACAAATGTAACAAGAGGGAGGCGCTTTGGAATGATCAGCGAAAACCGTTTTTAGAACCGGATGGTAACCCGTATTTTGGCTAGTTTCTCTGTTGATTTCTCTCTCTCTGAGGCTACAGAGACTACTTTTTCACTTCACAGTTTATTTTAGACATTTAGACAAGTTTTGTGTTACATTTCTTGAGAGAAAATGCTTCATAATGCTTTGATTCTTGCCCTGTCCAGCGGTCTGTTCTTGAATTGCTTCATTAAGTAGGCTTTTACGGGTTACTGGCAGGCTGGCACTTACCTCGAATACTCCATTATCAATGGTAAGTAAAGACACATCAAAGGTGCCACCACCAAGATCAAAAACTAGAACATTTTTCTCTCCCTCTTTCTTGTCAAGACCATAAGCAATGGCTGCAGCTGTTGGTTCATTGATGATTCTCATAACAACTAAACCCGCAATGGCTCCAGCATCTTTTGTTGCTTGACGTTGGGCATCATTGAAGTAGGCAGGTACTGTGACGACAGCATGTGTAACCTGAGAAGTAACAGATTTGTATCAGCATCATTGCATTTCTATCGCTAGTAACATGCGCTGACAGCAGTTAATAGATTAAAAAAAAGGTTGATACTGACTGTCTTCCAGGTAAGTATGGGGTATGGTATCATGAGTGAAGAGGTTAGGATACTTTTCTTCTTTTCTTTCCTGATCTTTTGATCAGAGGGTCCTTGGTTTGATCATCGACCAAGATTGACCTGAGTTTCATGGTTTCAAGGAAAGGACAACTGGGCTGGGGCTGCAGGGAGTCTACACACCTGGGGGGAAAATCCTTGACTGCTCTAGGTTAACCCTGATCAAAATGGTCAGAATCCCTAACTTTTCAAATCAACAATAGGCTTGTGAATTAAAATGACTGCATGTGGGAGAAACACGTGATCCTATTTTCTACAGATATAATCATAGTTGGGTCATTCCATTGTAAAGGGTGTGACAACAATTTAACTTTGAACAAGAATTTGAACTCTTTCTTGGGGTTTAATTAAAAAATTATCTGCATTAGCAGAAAGAACTTTTTTTATATATCATTTTAGTTTATCAGAAATTGTTTTTACTTTGTTCCATTCCTCAGAAAAAAATTAAAAGGCTGCGTAACGGGTGTCACCGATTTTGGAAGTGAGTTTTTCCTCCGTGAGTGTAAAGTGGAAACTCAGCAAATTTTATGAATGTTAAAATCTGGTTAAATTATATGGTGAAGCCAAGGGTTTTTGCTTCAACTTCCGATGATCCGTTTTCAATTATCTTTTTTTCTTTCCTTGAAAAATGGGAAAGCGTAACGGGTGTGACGTAACGGGTGTGACAGAGTGTCTCTCTGAGGTCCATCATTTCTGAGAGAGTTTAAAAGTTAAAAAACTTACTTTTCTTCTCATACTCTTATTGTAGGCAATCCTAAGCAGTAAATCAATCAACAATTTGACGCATTTTTCTGTAGAACACGCCAAAACTACATTTTTCTACAAGGTGGCCCGGACCTACCGTTCGCGTTACGGGTGTGACGTAACGGGTGTGACAGACTGTCTCTCTGAGGTCCATCATTTCTGAGAGAGTTTAAAAGTTAAAAAACTTACTTTTCTTCTCATACTCTTATTGTAAGCAATCCTAAGCAGTAAATCAATCAGCAATTTGACCCATTTTAATGTAGAACATGCCAAAACTACATTTTTCTACAGGGTGGCCCAGACCTACCGTCCCAGGGCTTTTCTTCGGGTAACCCAGGATTCCCCTTTCGTCCCCGCGGTCTTGGATCTCGCATGACCCAAATTAACCACAAAAAAAACCCTTGTACGGTAGGTCTGGGCCTACAGTAAAGTGAAAATATTTCAATCAAATAGGAGAGAGTTCAACGAGTTCTATTTGAAGTCCTTTAGAGATAAGGTGTATTCACTTTAAATACTGAAATATGGCAAAAATGTTAGCTATCTCTCTCTTATTAGATGTATACATAACCTCTAATTGTGCATATGAGTGTATTTCTTGTGATAACCATAGAAAAAATGGTGAGAAGTGAGGCAAAATCTGCATAATTGAAGCCTCTTCTCATTGGTCACACCCGTTACGCATTTCTGCCTATCAATTTTTGAAATGAAAATTTGGAAAAAATACTCCAAAGCTGTACTTGACTTGAAGACGTACAGAAAAAATTGGCATCTCAAAATGACATGAATTAAAATAGTTACATTAAAAAACCCATGTTTAGCGTAACGGGTGTGACAGTCAGTACACTAAGTTTTAAAAGTTACATATAATATACAGAGATTACTTTTAAAAATTGAAACTTTGCAGGAACACATTGAATCAGTTTCTTGACAACTGCAAACATGACCTGAAACTTGGTTTTGGCGGGAACACCAGAAAACATTGCTACCAAACTGTCACTCTTTTAACAGTTGGATGAAGCTAAGCAACGGGGTTACAAAACACGTGAAAATTGCGAGAAAAAAACAAAACTGAGGTAAACCCCATTCATTTCCAAAAACTAGGAGTATTAAGGAGTCCAAAAATAAATATCGTTGGGTTATTTCGAGGGGGGGAAAAAAATACCCCCCGGACTACCTAGGCGTGGAATGACCCAGTTGCAACTCCTTATTGAGAGTCATTTCTCTGTGCACTATACAGAACGTAATTCAGAATTTAAGGCGGAACTAGACTAAGGTTCACTTTGATTGTAGAGACAATGCTAATGTTAGCCTACCAAAAAATGGAGCTTCATGGTAAAGTAACATACAATTTATTCCATATTTTGATTCCTCATTAGAGAATGGCATAAAATTTTTTAGCAAGCATGTCAAGAAATATGAAGAAGTGCAAAACCCACTGAAAGCATATATAGAAAGTGTCCAGTCTTTGTCAAGACATTCCTGGAGAATTCTCAGTTTTCCAGATCTACAAACACCCTGGGCTGTATGTAAATTAAAGAACTGGGGGAATAAGCAAGAATTTGCTCCTGGAAGCTACGTAAAAAGTGGTAAAAAAGAAGAGAAATTGACAGCTCGGATTGTTGCTTGGATTAAGAATTGTTACTGCAACTGCTTCTTTACACTATCTTCAGATACTACATTCTACCACAATGCTGTTCTTGCAAATCTTTGCAACTATTTTCTGACCACTGAAATCTATAACTACAAAATTCGTTAACAGGAAGAAAGGAGTATGTGAGAAAGGAAAATCGTTTTGAGCAATTTGTTTATGCATAGTATAAAAGGTGTCCCAGAATTAAGTACGAATGTTTAAGGAGTCGATTCTTTAGGTTAAAAAAAGTTGTTTTTGAGGTATAACTTTTTTTCCAAAAACGCTTTTCCTGGGGGTCACCCCCACCCCCTTCGCGCTCCATTTAGTCCTTACTACCTATCTCGAAAACGATAAGTCATAGCGAAAAAACGCGAGACACATTGTCTCAATATTTTTCAACGCTCAATTTATGGGTGTCATCAAAAAACAATTTTTGTCACTGGAAACATTAACTGTGGCTACTTTTAGGTTCGATACCTCCCTAAACCCCCCCCCCTTAAAATGCGTTTTCTCTTTATTGGAGGTCAAAAATGAAAAAAGCGCTAAAAATTACCCCCACTTACAAATTTTCATTAATATTGATTGATAAACATTGTCACAGTGTTAGAAAGACGATTTTTTTTCTCCAACTTCAGGGGGCCGCGGCCCCCGGGGAAAGCGTTTTAGGAAAAAAAGTTGCACCACAAAAACGTCTTTTTTTCACCCGAAATATCGACTCCTTCAATATTTGTACTTAATCCTGGGACACCCTGTATTATGTTGCCGCTTGAATAACTATATTATAAAACAAATCTGGGTGATATTACCAGAATCTGATTAGAGCGGGCTTATCTAAGGAGTAAGACCTGTCAATAGCTGCAAAAGCTATGGAAATCGGCTCGATGGAGCACTAGAGAGAACTTTTAAAAAAATGTAAAATTATAAAGGCTGTCCAAAAAGTACCAAGACTGGTTCCATTAATCAAAAACCAAGATAGCTAGAGGCTTGATCTTGGTTTCATTTAAAAGATCAACTCAATATCTATCGATTGAGACCAAAATCAAAACTTTCGGTCAAATATTTCAAAAGTTACAACAATGTTTGTAAAAAAAATATCTGCACCCCCTACCGTTTTTTACGACTATTTTCTCTTGCTGGGAACACTCTCTAAATTAATGATCAATGCACGGTTCTTTTGCAACTAATCATGGCAAAATCTAATTGATTTGGCAACACTATCAAGTCGTCGTCGTCCGACTACGGGTATAAGGGTTCAAAGTCCACTAGGAAAGAATGAACCGTCGATCATCCACCCCCAAAAAACCCGGGAAATTTTCGGCAGTTGTTGACAGTTTACAGTGCATGCGTAGTCTGCGCTGCAGATAGTGAATGATTTTGTTTCTGTGTTCGAAATTTTTGATACCATCATGGAAAGAGATAAAGCAGTGATATCAAAAATTTCGAACACAGAAACAAAATCACTTACTATCTGCAGCGTGGACCACGCACGCACTGTAAACTGTCAACAACTGCCGAAAATTTCCAGGGTTTTATGGGGGTGACTGACCGACGGTTCATTCTTTCCCCGTGGACTTTGAACCCTTATACCCGTAGTTGGACGACGACGACTTGACAGTGTTGCCAAATCAATTAGGTTTTGCCATGATTAGTTGCAAAAGAACCGTGCACTGATCATTAATTTAGAAAGTGTTCCCGGCAAGAGAAAATGGTCGTAAAAAACGGTAGGGGGTCCAGATATTTTTTTTACAAATAGTGTTGTAACTTTTGAAATATTTGACCAAAAGTTTTGATTTTGGTCTGAATCGATAGATATAGAATTGATCTGCTAAATAAAACCAAGATCAAGCCTCTAGCTATCTTGGTTTTTGAATTATGGAACCAGTCTTGGTACTTTTTGGACAGCCTATGTACATTGTTGATACGGGAGAATTTGCAACAGTACCACGTAACACAATAAGACCTGGGCCATAGTTCCAAAATCTAAAGGGAGAAGGTTCATCTAGAGACAATCACCTGTTATTAATTATGAGGTTATATGTTAGCCACCTGTTAGTAATTATAAATTATGAAGATTGGACCGGCAGAACGCTAGAGCGAACTGTTACCAGAAATAAAAATTTAGGAGGCCCATGATCCTGTAGCAATGTAGCATAGATAAAAGAAGATGAATTTGCAAGCAACTTAACTGATTATCACATCTTTTTTTTAGGGGGAACCAAATAAGAGACATAATGCAAGACTTACAGGTTTGCCAAGGTAAGCTTCAGCAGTTTCTTTCATCTTGCTTAAAACCATAGCAGAAATTTCCTCAGGAGCGAAGATCTTTACTCCTTGAGATGTGGATACTTCGATGTGAGGCTTGCTGTTCTTTTCCTTCACCTAGGAAGAAAGGAAATTACAGTGTTTGGTGATACGCCTTAAATAAACGTAAATGAATCTACAAAGGGATGAATGAGCATTGCAGTACAGAAATTCTTACCTCATTGAGAAGATTTTTTTCATTGACAAAACGATTTTACACATTCATTTTGTTGGCACAATACTGCTCTTCATCCTTTTTGTTCTCAAATAAAGGAGGAGTATCATTTTGGGACTTTTCCGGCCCCACCTGGATTTTGCTAAATATTTCATATTTTCAAAGTCCTAGTCCTAGGTAGACTTTATGCCAAATATTTTACCGAACGGAGCCCATGCAAAGGTGCAACAACGCCTCAAACCCAGAACCTAGGCATCGAAAAATAGTCATTTTCGTCGACTTTTTCGACTGTTATCACGCTTTCAGCAAATAATTCCTACGTATTTTTTTGCGTACTTTCCGTTTCTGGCCTTTTTATAGGCCTCCGATAAATTTTAAGGGGCCTTATGGCCTATAGTTGCCATTTTTGGCCCATTTTTAGGGGTTTTTTCAATTTTACACACGCAGAAATCAATTCAAACTAAGAACCGTGTACGTTTTTGAAAAGAACGCAAAATATTGAATAAAAAATGTTCAGTGAAACTTTTTCCTACATTGCCAAATTTTCGAGAAAAGTCGTCCCAAAGAGCCAAAAATGGCAAAAATTCGATAAATTGCCACGCTTAAGGTTCAAGAAAGTGGAGTACAACTTTTATATTGACGTACGTAACAGCTCTTACCTATATATACAACATATCAAAAAATTATAGTTGTACCTGGATTCCCACGATGTGAAAATTGACCGGGATGTCGATTTTAACGGCTTTTCTTTACTTGAAGGTAGCTCTTTTGAATGTTTCTCGACCTTAGTCACCCTCTATGGGTGTGTACTCTAAGTATTTTTCTACGTACTTTTCATATCTGGCCATAAAAATGGCTTCCTGTGAATTTAAAGAGGCGTAACGGTCCACTGTTGCCAAATTTGACCATTTTTTAGGGGTTTTTTCAAGTTTACATGTGTGAAACTTAATTTAATCTAAAAACCGTGTACATTTTCGAAAAGAGCGTAAAAAATAACATAAAATGTGATTTGTAACTTTAATTGGAAAATTGGAATTAATCATCACGTCCAAGGTTCTAGAAAGTGAATTATGACTTTCAAGCGGGTCGTGGGACACTTTCCCCGCGCAGTTTCTGTTGTTTGATAAATTTGGCCTGTAGCGAGCATCTTGAGAACCAAGGATTATCTCGAGGTTACAGGAATAAAGAAGTGAACTGGAGTGAAGGATAAGGTAAAAGCACCTTGAGGGTCCGTTTTGTCACGTTCATCTGAGCCATTACATGTTCCGTGAGATGCACTGCAACTTTCCATTTCCGATACGTTATTTGTAGTGAAATAAAACTAAATATTCACTTCCTGGAACCTTGGATGTGACGATTAATCCAATTTTTGGCATTTTTGGCGCTTCAGGACGATTTTTCTCAAAAACTTGGCAACGTAGGGTAAAGTTACAAATCACATTTTGTGTATTTTTTTACGCTCTTTTCGAAAATGTACACGGTTTTTAGATTAAATTAAGTTTCACACATGTAAACTTGAAAAAACCCCTAAAAAATGGTCAAAATTGGCAACAGTGGACCGTTACGCCTCTTAAAATTCACAGGAAGCCATTTTTATGGCCAGATATGAAAAGTACGTAGAAAAATACTTAGAGTACACACCCATAGAGGGTGACTAAGGTCGAGAAACATTCAAAAGAGCTACCTTCAAGTAAAGAAAAGCCGTTAAAATCGACATCCCGGTCAATTTTCACATCGTGAGAATCCAGGTACAACTATAATTTTTTGATATGTTGTATATATAGGTAAGAGCTGTTACGTACGTCAATATAAAAGTTGTACTCCACTTTCTTGAACCTTAAGCGTGGCAATTTATCGAATTTTTGCCATTTTTGGCTCTTTGGGACGACTTTTCTCGAAAATTTGGCAATGTAGGAAAAAGTTTCACTGAACATTTTTTATTCAATATTTTGCGTTCTTTTCAAAAACGTACACGGTTCTTAGTTTGAATTGATTTCTGCGTGTGTAAAATTGAAAAAACCCCTAAAAATGGGCCAAAAATGGCAACAATAGGCCATAAGGCCCCTTAAAATTTATCGGAGGCCTATAAAAAGGCCAGAAACGGAAAGTACGCAAAAAAATACGTAGGAATTACCTGCTGAAAGCGTGATAACAGTCGAAAAAGTCGACGAAAATGACTATTTTTCGATGCCTAGGTTCTGGGTTTGAGGCGTTGTTGCACCTTTGCATGGGCTCCGTTCGGTAAAATATTTGGCATAAAGTCTACCTAGGACTAGGACTTTGAAAATATGAAACATTCAGCAAAATCCAGGTGGGGCCGGAAAAGGCCCAAAACGATACTCCTCCTTTTAGCAGTTATTTTTTCAGTTTAATTAATTCTCCCTGTTGCTGAGTCATTTTACACTTTTTACCTTTTCAGAATCAATGTGGCGCTTCCCTTTCTCAATGTCAAATTAAATTAAACCTTTACTTTGACACATCTGAAGAACTGAAATAAAATAATTAAAGAAAGATAAAAATTCCCCCCACAATATTTCTTGAGATGGTGATAAGAGATTAAAAATGAGCTGTAATTAGAACTCAAGATCTGGCCTTCAACTTCTTTCATACTTTTCTCTACCATCGATCTGCCAACATGTGTATCTTCTCAGATAAAATTTAGAGATTTCTCATGAACTTAGCAAAACAAATCCATACAGAGTTTTCATTGTATATCCAAGCCTTCACTTAACTGCAGCCAGTATGACAAAGCATTGGAATTTCTTGAATGAAATACATTACAATGAAACTTTCTGCCATTCATGTACAGGAGGATCTCAAAACCTGTCTACCAGAATGACTGACCTGTGTGGATTGGTTTTGAAACAAAGGATCGAGAGATGAGTCCTCAATGATTATTTCTTAACACCATTTAGCATCCATTACATGACTTTAAAGACATATGAAAACTTGCCTTGAATGGGAAGAATTTGATATCTTGTTGGACGGTTGGGTCATTCCAATCTCTACCAATAAGTCGTTTTGCATCGAAAACAGTGTTTTCTGGATTTGTGGTCAACTGATTTTTGGCTGCATCACCAATAAGCCGCTCACCCTCTGCAGTAAAAGCAACGTACGAAGGGGTAATTCGGTTACCTTGGTCGTTGGCAATGATTTCTACTCGACCATTCTTGTACACTCCGACACTATAAAGAGAGCAGAAGGAGATTTTAGAAAAATTAAGGATTTTAAACCTGCAAAGTTCTCGCTGAGTTAGACTGAGAAATGTATTAAAATGGGTGCAGAACATAGATTGATCCAGATCGCAAACATCCTACCTTGTTCATGCAAAAAAATGTGGGTCGCTCCAAGTAAGTTCATCCAGTCATGAAACCAGCTTCTTGGATTTGCCTGAAATTTTATTTGATCACTAGGAGGCTATGCCCCCTGGCCGCTGCGCGGCCCAACCCCCGGAGACCGCTTCGCGTTCTCTTAGGCCCATGTCGACAAGAGAACGGCCGAAGAAAATGAAAAGATTTTCATACCCGACTCTCATTTATCCAATCTCCCTCTGGCCGGGAGCAATTGGACCAATAAGAACCGAATGAAAAAATCGGCATTTATTTCAAACTTCACGCCAAAACTTACACGAAACGGAACGGAGCGTTTCGTCCCTTTCGGATAGTCTGTAACAAAGGAGCATACCTCCGATTCACTTACCCTACTAACAGACCAAGATTCAACATTTCCCGCTTACTTCAATTTTACCCCCCTTTCTAAGCTTTCTGTTCTCCTCGAATATGAAAAAACCTGGGTCCTATTTTCAAATTCTAATCACAGCGGGCTCATCTAGGGACTATCACCTGTCGATGACCGCAAAAATTATGGAAATTGGTCCTGTAGAACGCTCAAACAAACTATGACAAAAAATAAAAAAATTACATTGTTTGAATGGGAGAATTCGCAACTTTACCATGCAATATAAAAAAAACTGGGTCATATTTTCAAAATCTAAATAAAGTGGGCTTATTTGGAGAAAATTGCCTGTCGATAGCCGCAAAAATCATGAAAATCGGCCCAGTAGAACGCTGGAACTAAGCGTTACCAGATACGCAAATTTAGGAGGTCTCGGAGCTTATATACAGGGTGTACCAAAAGTCCGTCCCACCCCTGCTAACTTTTGAACGAATTGAGCTAGGGTAATGAAATTTTGGGAATGTTCCTATGTCAAAGGGGACCATCTTTTGAGGGGGTCAAAATTTTGGTCCCCCCTCAGGGGAGGCGCGGGGGGCCCCCAACTTTTTAATTTCAAATGACAACCCCTATCTTGTGATACATCATTCAAAAGAACATAAAAAACTAAGAATTTTGGCGCAAACTGCAGATCAATATCTTAATTTTTGACCGAGTTATGGTAGGTCAAAGGTCAAATTTGACCTATTTTCAAAAAATCATAACTCCGGTTCAAATTATCGTAAAGAAAAAAATAAAACGGGAAAATGTACCAAATTGTGTCCACTTTTAAGTAAAAATTGCAGAAATCACTTCGCTGTAATTTTAAGGGGGGGGGGGTTTGGACCCCCAAATACGTCAATTCAAAGGTCACTCAATTTTCTCGCGAAAAAAGGCAATTTCCCCTAGATTTGCTCCCACATCATCTCAGTATGGTCAAAATTAGTTCAACATTACGTTGGCAAGTCCCCAAATTTCGGGAAAAGTTAAAAAAAACGAAATTTAAGGTGATTAAATTTGACCGTTTAAATTTCCTTTTTTTTAACTTTTCCCGAAATTTGGGGACTTGCCAACGTAATGTTGAACTAATTTTGACCATACTGAGATAATGTGGAGGCAAATCTAGGGGAAATTGCCTTTTTTCGCGAGAAAATTGAATGACCTTTGAATTGACGTATTTGGGGGTCCAAACCCCCCCTTAAAATTACAGCGAAGTGATTTCTGCAATTTTTACTTAAAAGTGGACAGAATTTGATACATTTTCCCGTTTTATTTTTTTCTTTACGATAATTTGAACCGGAGTTATGATTTTTTGAAAATAGGTCAAATTTGACCTTTGACCTACCATAACTCGGTCAAAAATTAAGATATTGATCTGCGGTTTGCGCCAAAATTCTTAGTTTTTTATGTTCTTTTGAATGATGTATCACAAGATAGGGGTTGCCATTTGAAATTAAAAAGTTGGAGGCCCCCCGCGCCTCCCCTGAGGGGGGACCAAAATTTTGACCCCCTCAAAAGATGGTCCCCTTTGAGATAGGAACATTCCCAAAATTTCATAACCCTAGCTCAATTCGTTCAAAAGTTAGCAGGGGTGGGACGGACTTTTGGTACACCCTGTATATGATTGACTGCTGTAGAATTGGACATATTTCTGCCAAACGGAACTATGTGCACTAAGATATGAGCCCCTAGACCCATAAGAATTTATGTACAGCAGGGCTCACGTCATTATGAACATAGTTCCGTTTGGCAGAAATACGTTCAATTCTACGATTAATTCCCGCATTTTCATTAATGCGCGTTTGAACGAAACCATGCAAATAAAGCTTCGTTTTTATGGGCGCACTCATCCCGCAGTATTTGAAATCGTCTAAACACTTTGAGACAACTCGAGGGCTTGGCGAGGGCGACCGCGACCTTCTCGGCTCGTAAACCGTCGCGCGAGAGATTTATGGGTCTTTTAGGACGCTGCCGTCTGTCCCAAAATAAATCGAAAACGCTCATTTGTCTTTAAAGAGAATCCGTGTTATTTCGGCGCAATCTGACAACCACATTATTTGTCCCAGTTTCGCAAATTTGGAAAAAAGGCTATTACTCTCGTGAGGGTGAAAATTTCAAAAATCGGACTTCGAGGTGCACGTGTGCGTATAAGGCTGCATCAGTGGGTAGAAATGTCTATGTTGAGACTTCAATGGTATGCTCTGTACACCTTGACATAGACAGGGTGAATTTTTTAGATTTTTCGCGATAACTCGACCAATTGTGAACATTTTAAGGACAAAAAGCTTCAGCATAACCATTTCGGCTTGCCCCTTCATCATGAAGAATTTCAAGTTCATACGATCAATATTAGTCGCGAAATAAGCAAAAATAGATTTGCAGGTTTTTCGCAATAACTCGGCTAACAATGAAACATTCAAAAAAAGGAGAACGCACCGTGCTACAGCACATAAGATGTCACAACTCCGTAAAATTTCCATACTCTCACCCTAACGGTAACTTCAGGACAGCGCGGAACAGATCTCGACAATTTTAGGGCTTACAATTTTATGATACAGTAAGATTTGTATCAACAAGTTGTGACTCTACGCCACTTGGTAGCATCCCAAGTTGAAAACTGTCTTCTACTAAATAGCCTTTCTTTGCCATTTTTTAACCTAAAATTCACCTATTTCAAAGAAGAAGAAAAACATATCTGGTAGTCTAAGAGCCAGCTGCACTTTTGGCGCCACTACTGCGTCACGCTTGAATCTTTGCAGAGACATAGTTCTGACCTCCCTAGAAACGGATTGGGCAATATCAGACCTCAAAAAAGGTGCGTCTGGCCGCTGCGCCCCTCGAAAAAAGGAAAAAGCGTGCGATGAAATCTCACGGAAGAGCCATTTTATGGGACCTGAAAAGTTCTTTGACGTTGATTTCTAACCTTTTTACTGTACGCGCGTATAGTTTGGGTACATGTTAACTTAGTTTTAGCCCGGCAGATGAATTCGAGTTCATGCGGTCGATCGGCAGACCCCGAAATTGGCTCCGTAAGCAATAAAAATTCAAGATTACGGTGTGACCTCTCCACGGTGCATGGACTCCACACACTTACACTCCTGAAAAACAGGTGTATTGGATCCACAGGTTGTGGAGCCCACGTACCAAATTAGAGAGACAGAAAAGAAGTGGTGCGTGGGGCCTACGCCCACGCCCTTTGTAGCGCGCGGGGTAGACGAGAACGCCTTTCCTTAGGTTGCTGCAAACCATTCAACTTCGAAACCTTCCGAAAACTGCAAAATGAATATTATGCATCGCAAAGGAAGAAAAAAGGAGAATGGTAACACTAAAATCTCATTAATGTAGGATGGAAAGTTTATCAATGGCCGCATTTCATAGTTATCTAATCGCGCATTCCGGAAATTTTACGCTTTATATAGTCGATACTAGGGTGATCCTTCATTTTGCGTTTTCAGTTTAAAGTGTGGAACCCTCAAATGGTTCTGTTTAAAGAGAAAATAACGCAAAAAATACAAATATGGAAAACAAATTTTAAAACTCACCCCTAGGAGCCTAAAGTTGTGAGAGTTGCGCACAGAGACGCGTTTCCCCGTCATTTAGCGAATTTTTTGGTAACGTTGCATGGTGTCAACAAATCTAAAATCTGATCATGGAGTCAACAATGGGTCGCTAAACCTTTTTTATTTTATTGAATATTCTGAAAGTACTATGTGAGGAGATAACGTGGTGATTTTTCCGCATTTTCATGGAGCCAAAATCGCGGAGAAAACCGCTTTTGAAAAATCTAAAAACTGCAAGACATTTCAAATGCACCCGAATGGCGGGAAACTGACGCGGTTGATGTACTGCGGTAGTCATATCGCAATCTTCTTTCATTTTCCTCCGATGTTTGTTAAAATAAAACGTACTTCAATGTGGAGTTGCTACTTGTTTATTACAGCTAACATATGAATGAGATTCTAGTCTTGAATTCAAAAGATATAATTTCGACTTTCGTATTGTTCTCATATACGAAGAGTAGATAGACATTTGACGGACGTCGTGGAACCCGTGCCCGCCTCTGATTGGTGCCAGATGACATAATTCGGTGCGGCACGAAAGAGGGGCGTTTTAAAGTTGGGTTTAAGTTGAGCGATTTGAACTGCGCATTTCTCGGTAATTGAGTGACTAGTTCGCGTTTTTAATGTTCGCATCGTGTTACACGCGTCATTTTCCTTCAGAAAACTATATTCGCAAGTCAAAATTCGTTCATGGTTTAGTGACCCATTGTTGACGTCGTGCTCAGGCAATAAAACGCAAAAGTGGGCCCTGATCATGGTGTCAACGATCACGGTATCAACAAACAAAAAAATATCTTCCTTACGTGTAAAATTAAAATATTAAGTGTGCAAGAGAGGTTGGGGTCATGTAAAGTTAGATTATGTTAGTTTAGTTCAGGACATATACGGTCAGATTAGGTAGGTAAGGTTTTTAA